TTTAATTTGTAATGAATTGAAGACAGAAAAAATTATTTTACCGTAATATACACATCTGTAACAGCAAATGATCATGAAATTGTAAGTTATGTTGTTGGTAATAGAAAGGTAAAAATTATTGAGAAATTGTTCTTCAAATGCTTGGCGTGTTCTGCTTCAATGTTTGGCATGTTCTGGTTAGTTTTTTCAAGTTCTACAGCTGTTCCTTAGGGAAATTTTGATTTTTATTTGGTGCTAAGAAAATGGCGTCCGTCATGGCCGATGATTTTTATGGAACTAAATGAAAACGTGATAAATTAATGTCTGATATTTACAGGCTCCCTCTAGAGGGCGTACTCGAGCGTTGCGATCGCGAATACTAGAGAAGAAGGACATAATGTTAAAACACGAACTAGAATTGATCAAAACACAACTCTATTTAAAAAAAAAACTGTCAATACCACCTTTAAAAAACTTAATAACTTTTAATTATTTTAAACATAACAGTGCTAACAAAAAAGAACAGCATACCAAAGAACAAAACAGGAAAAAACATCAGTGGCGTAACTAGATCACCCATCTCTTTTTAATTTATTGTCGTTTTCAAATAAATGATCTAGTTCATCACTTTTAACTTATCGTTTTCAAATAAATGATCTAGTTCATCGCTTTTAACACATAACGTATGAGCATGTTGTTGTTGATTAATTTACAGCGTCTGTGTTTGTTTTATTACGCCAACTCTCGAATGTTCTTTTGTTTTTAAACTGGCCTTATTTATTGATTATTACAGTTTTACAAATTAATTTTTGTCCAGCTTATCACACGTTAACTAAAGACTCATTCCGTAACAAACACTAAGGATTTAGTCCAACAGAAGCATTTTTCTGCTCCGTTCCGATAATCTCTTATCTCGGGGAAAGATCGAGTACTTGTCCCCTCCCCGTTAGTGTGCCTCTATGCTGGGCCCACGAAAACTGCAGTGCAGTGGAAGAAGAAAAGAACGACATCCAAGGTTGAACAAAGATCCGAAGGACCCTGGGCAAGATTTTTTGTGGGTCCCTTCCTTGAAAAAAAAAGAAACTAATTTTCATATTTTGCAGAATTTTTTTTTATAAAAAGCTAATAAATTAACATTATTCCCTCAGCAGTCCCGGGTACCATCCTCTTGCCCCCTCCCCGTCTTGAGTACAACACGTAAGCCTCTAGAGTAGCATGCAATTTACATGCGACACCGTCACATGTAAATGGCACGCATAATTTTCTAAAATTGCCATATAAAATAGAAATGGCTGCTAATTTTTCAATTAAATTCTAGTATTTTAAAATTTCCCATACAGTTAAAATGTGTACCCGGTTACCCCACTAGTGGTACCCACCGGTCGAATTTTTTTTCTTTAAAGTGTTATGGCAAAGAAATATCTTAAGAAAATCTCAAAGAAATATCTTAAAGGAAATTTTCCTATTTTGACCACAAAAAAAACGTTCTTTTTATGAAGAAACATCTGAATTTTTTTTCTTCTTCTTTCATTCGATTTAGCGTGGGAAATAAAATCCTTAAAACCAAATTTCATAAAATTCTGACAATTGGGGTTAGACAAATAAAATGTCGAAACTAATAAAAAAGAGGAATGTCGGCATTGGTTGAAGCAGATTGCCTGACTTTAAGTAATTCAATTCGTAAAACTTACTATTTCGTACTGCAAAGTATATAAATGTGATGACAAGTTTATAAAATAAATAAAAGTTTGTAGAAGCAAGTTATTCATTGGGCAAATTAATCAACCTAAGCAAAACTAACCCCTGATTAATGAAGTAAAAAAAAGTAGTAGAAATATTTTTTAAGTAATTCATTGCGTAAAACTAGCAATCAAGCGGGATGATGAAAATCTGATCCTAAAATAATAAACTAAAATGAAAAAAGGGTTAGAAAGATTTTCTTTCCTCAAATAAAAAATAGAAAAATATGTATTTTCTTTTCTCTTTATCTGGTTTTTGGTCTTGTCGTAATCCTGGAATTTATAAGTTTTTTTTTTCATTTAACTCGTACGTAATAAAATAAACTTGTCAAGTTTTGTTCGCTTTGATAGAAATATGCATTTAAAGATTAAAATTAAACATACGACGGCTGCTTTCGTATTCGACTAGAAACAGATACAATTTAACTCTTCCATTTAAAAAAGTGAAGAAATAAAAATAAATAAAGGAGGAAAGTTAAAAAAAAGAAACTGGTAGCTTAATTATTTTGCGAAAGAAAATGTGAGTGATTACCACGATCGATAAGGAATTTTTAGCCACCATCTTGGATATGTAATCATCAAATTTTAATAATTTTGAGTATCTAACGTAATTAATAAACACATAAGCTTACTGACATTAAATTTGAAAGTTCGGCTTTAATGAAAATTTATAACCTACAGAAAGAATTATTTCCGCATTTTTATTGATTCGTTATTGATCAGTCTACCTTTTCAGACAGATGGAATTTTTATTAAACACAAACATGACATCAATATTAGCATTATTCTTAAATAAGCAAATCATTTGCAATTACCATAAAATATTTATAATAAAACGTTTTATATGGGTGTGAATTTATGTTCTTCTTTTAAAGTGAAGCTTACTTACTAGTTTCGAAGTAAACATAAACTTTCTAAACAGATGCGTTCCTCGCATGATCTTTGCAAAACTATGCAAAAACTAATTTTATTATCATTTTATATTACAAAATTTGAATAATAAAATACATCGTAGATGCTTTTATTTTTCACGAAATATTTTTCTACTTTATTAATGTGCGTTTTGTTTTCAAGGGTGCCTTTTTCTACATATTTCATTTATTTTAATATTATTTTTTTTAAAATTGTCTATCTAAGGAAGTTTAAATATTATAAAATAAATGTGGCAGAAATAATATAAATAACTCATCAGCAGTCAACAACAGCTATAGAATGAAGAAATGTTGGGACTCGTTGTAGCAACGTGACGAACAATAAGAGCTATCAGCTGCACTAGATATTAAACAAAATTCGATATTTTTCAAGCACACAAAAATAGACGCCCATTCTCAAGACGCAATTGACCCTCATAGGGCTAATTGTAAAGACACGATTCCCAGTAGAGCACTGAAGTCAAGCATCACTGGCTGCGGTCAGTAAATGGATGGGTGACCACTTTGATCAGCCTGCGTAGGGACAGAGGGTGCACGGTATCGTGAAGTGCTGGACTTCGTGCGCAGGTGGTCGGGTTACCAAAGCAGGGGAGTCACCCTCTCTGCAGACAATCAAAATTGCGATGGCATGTCTTTGGATCATCCTCAGGGATATTTCCCAGACTGTCGCCAATCGCCCATTGGGCAGCTCTAGTGCGATGTAAATAAGGTACCTACCTGCAAAGACTTGCCAGACGTGATAGGGAAAAGTGATAGGAAACGTAAAGTTTCAAACAAAACAACGTAAAGTTAACAATAGACATGAACATTTTACCACCTCTCCATAGCGAGTGACGATACATTTTGCCCTGATTTGCTTGTCTCGGCTAAGCGGTTCTTCTAAATTTTTTTTCTTGCCTTTTTTTTTCATTTGTCTACTTTCTGTTTCCTATCACTCTATTTCGAATCACCCCATTCACGCCTGGTCAGTCTTGAGAATGAGTACACATTTTTTTGAATCCAGTACAAAGGGAAGGAAAATAATACTTAACTGTACAAGAGATATCTTGTTGATCTCTGGACACCATTAAAATAAAAGAGTATTTGGAACCACTTTCTCTCTCCAGCTGAAATCAGTTGTATAAAATTAACATATATTAAGTCACTTAAGCCGACGCCATAACACGAAGGAAACTTTTCATTGCAATTTCTTCTTCACCTCCAAAACAAATTTAAAATTGAAAGTAAAGAAAAAGTGGGTTCAGACAAACCTAGAGTAAGCCATGTAGTTTCAAATACTAAAAAGAAATTTTTAAAACATCAAAATTAAAATAAATTTTGAGACGATAACTTATGATTACGCAATGGAAAAATTCTCTTCCAATAATTTGATGGCATTTTGATATTTTGAAATTTTTCTTTCTGCAACAGAAACTTAATGGCTTACTCTAGGTTTGCCTGAACGCACTTTTTCTTTCTTTCTTTTCTTTTCTTTCTTCTTTTGAATTTTAAACAAGCAGTGGAGGAGAAAGAGAATTAGCAATGAAAAGTTTCACTCATGATCATACATGGCAACGTTACTTTTAAAAAGTAACGAGTAAAAGTACAAGTATTTTTAAAAAAAGTAACGAGTAAAAAGTAAAAAGTTCTTATTTTAAAAAGTAACGAGTAAAAAGTACAAGTAAAAGTACAAGTACTAAACAAAAAAAGTAACGATTTAAAAGTACATTTCTAGGAAATCGAAAATTCAAAGTAACCTAAAATTTTATTGAATAATATTCTTATGTTCTTTAATGTTTTTGCAAAATTGTTGTTATTTATTTAATTATTTTTAATTTTGAAAGTTATGGACATTAATTTATTTTTAAATTCGGAAGAATATTATAATATAATTTTATAATATAATCGTATAATATAATTTTAAAATCAAATATAATTTTAATATCAAACTTTTTATGGATTTGCACGAAAAAGAAATTTTATCTATTGATTTTTATTTTTAGTTTATTATTTTTATTTATTTAAATTACCATTAATTTAAAATTGTTTTACTCTATAGAAACGCGTTTTAAAAGCACAAACATAAACAAAGCAAACACGGATAGCTTTGTGATCTTTGAGCTAGTAAAAAATAATTGAATGTGCATGATAAGTTGAAACAGAATGTATTTAAACACGAAGTCAGCTGTGAATGCATATATATGGCACATTAATTTTATAAATTAAAAAAACATAAGCATTTTTTTTTTAAATTTAAATCCTTTTTTTTAAATTTTTTTTTAAGAAAGCTTACCGAGTTTTAGAAAAACGTAACGATTTCATTCGACAGTTCCGTTACAAATATTTGTACTTTTTTCCTAAAAAAGTAACGAAAGTACAAGTAAAAGTACTAAATTTAAAAAGTAACGAAGTACAAGTAAAAGTACGTACTTTTTACTTGTACCGGCGGTACAAGTAACGAAAGTAAAAGTACTGCCATATATGCTCATGATATGGCATCATCTAAAGATAAATTGAAACGAAAAGGAACGCACCACTGTAATTATCTCAAAAAAGACTGTTTAAAATAAATAACTATATAAGGAGTAACTTGACACTACATTAAAAATAGTTAAAATAACGGTAAATAAACGAGGGTCGACATTTAAGTAAGGGCTGTTTTGTTGTGTACACTTATAGGTGACGCTTGCGCCGCAACGAGAGCTTGTGTCGTGTCCCGGCATTCCTTGGGAACAACTGTGCTCAGTTGCAGCTGTGTAGGTAAACTGTACGATCAGTCCCGTGTCTTTAAAATGTTCAGATTTAACCAATCACCCGCCACACACGAGATACGGTTGGGAAGTTTTGAACCACCCTCCCTACAGTCCAGACATTGAGCGGAATGATTTTCATCCTTTCCGATATTTCAAACATCATTTTGGCTGCAATCACTACAACGATGACGAATACGTGAAAACGACCGTGATGTATCCTTCATAACGCATACATCCATACGCATGAATACATAAAAATGCATATGCATCTATGCATTCGTCTATTAAAGATTAAAAGTAAAGGAGGTTACTTTTATCTTTCTGCTTTATTACTTTCTAAATTATTTACGAGCATATGTATTTATGCATACATATGCATAAATACATAAAAATACATATGCATCTATGCATTTATCTATAAGTATCCATATGCAATCATTCATTATATAGTAATTTTTCTATCGATCATCAAATTGAATTCTTTCTGCTGCTATGTCATCGACATCTGAAATCTATTTTTAGTGTCGATTCTTCAAAAGTAAGAAGGTTAAAAATGGATGAGTCATCATCATCCATAAAAAGGTTTTCTGGATTCCTCCCACGACATGAAGATGAAATCTGAGCGGAACTTTTCATTCTTTTAATTTCAAGTAAAACAACTCAATAAATGAAATAGTTCTGGATGGGAGAACTTTGCGGAGAAGAGTAATAGTATTATTATGCGGACGCGTTCTGAGTTACTTGCAATAAATAAGTTGATTTTTTTTTTGAACAACAAGCTTGTATTTGCGCGATTCATAAACTGATACAATGTTCTTCAATTTAACATTTCTGGAGAGAATTTAAATAGAGAGAGACGGGGGGGGGGCACTTTAACCTCACTCACCATAACACGGATTTCCCGAAAAGAGATGAATACGATTTTTAAAAAAACAACATTGGCATTATTAATAGTTATTTTTACTGAAAAATGAATTATGTGTAATGATGATCACGATACATTAAAGCGCAAAATAATTATGTGCTTGCACTTCAAGAAGAAGAAGACCTCCCATACCCACACATGTGACCTATGACGCCAGCTCCAGCTAATCTTTATCAGCGAAAAAGACGTATCAAATTTGAGCTAACTTTCTCTACATAAGTTAGAATGTTAATTAACGATAAGTTAATTAAATATAGAGCAGTATCGCACATCGAATGAGTTAAAATATATTTCTTTTTCGTCTAGTTCTTTTACTTAGCTTAGATTTATTATTTGTATCGGCATTTTATTGTAACCGTGATATATCTTTGTTTTGTGTACCTGACAACTTCGAGTTTGTTCATGTTTCACGTGGCCTTGTGCCTGTCTTTGTGTAAATATATAGCGAACGAATTGAAATCTTTGAGAAAGAATCTTTGTGAAAGGACTTAGAATGTGCCACTTCAGAGAATCGATACTTCACGGGCTCGGCTTACTTGAAATAGAATGGAAAGAACAGTTGCTAACATGAGCAAATGTCCCGTTTCAACAACCAATCACGATCGAGATACCCAAACTACGTCACTTGCAGGCTTCATTATTATTGTTATAGAGAGAAATGAATCATTTTTAATGAAGTCAAACTTATTTTTCTCTTCCTGTTGGAAATTTTTTCGATACACTGTGACAAGCACATTTCAAGATCTTGTCATTCAGGCAATAACATCGTGAAATATCGGTGATTTTTAAACATTCCAATAACAAAATTTTGAAATGTATTCTCACGATATAATGCGATTTCTATAACGCACAAAAACTATTGATAGCAATCCTATCGCGACAGCAACGACCTCGAAAACAGCAATATGTCATTAAAATTGCAATATCGTCCAGAGCTGCTGCAAAAACAGCCCGCTGATGAATCCACAATTTAAGAAACACCTTTTTTATTATTATTAATTGAATGAGTTTTACAGTCAAATACATGATGAATGATAAAAAAACAGCTCCAACGTTGAGTTCTCATTAGTTTATGTTCTGTATGTCTTCCCCTTCCAAATAACCGGTTATGTGAAAGGGGAAGACGAACCGGTTTATGTATGAGATTATGTCATTGTAAATGGAAGAAATTGGTGGTTGTTGACTTCCAACGGTGAATGTTGACAATCATATAGTCGCTTTGGCAAATGTCCGAAATATATACTAGGTCTAGTTAACACTAGAAAGGTAGAAAATTAGTATATACCTATATTGCCCAAAAGCAGTCAAAATGACTGGATAGCGAATGCGTAAATAAATTTTTTTTAAATTAATTTTTGAAATTTTTTATATTATTTACAGTTATATAACAAGCTATTAGTAAATATTAACAATAAAAAAATGATATGTTGTACAAAATTCTAAGAAATTCTTTCATTATATACATCATTGTTTCTCTAATTGAAATTAAAAGCAATGAAAATTACTTCCTTAGGCAATCTAGTGCTAAGTGCCACTGCCCGGTAGTCATTTGTCCGGTATATCCCACACTGATATTTTTTTTAAGGTTCAATGACGCTGGCCGGTATGCCCGACATCAATGTTTTCTTAAGGTCAAGTGTCACTGCCTAGTATGTATTTTACCGGTACTCCGATGCTTCACCTAATCTATCTGGGTCATTCTCACAAAAAGGTGATATTTTAAGTCCCTTAGTAATAAATAATAGGAAATACAGCAGATTTCTTAATATTTTTCTTCATCATTTTTTGTAAAGTTCTAACTAACAAATCATATGCATTTCTGCTAAATGCATTTAATATTTCACTCTTATTTTTTAATAAACATAACTTCAAAATCCCCTCCATGGACGTCCCTACGTCTGTGACACAAAATAATTTTTAATGGCTGTTAAGCAATTTAAATGTTATTTTAATGATTTTTGTAGTTTTACCTAGTTAAATGTTTATAGTAACTTTTTATTTAATATTTCTTAAAAAAAAAAAGAAATTATTTTTATAAAATAAATGACTAGTAAACTTTGTCCAACAAAAATGAAATCTCCCTCCATGGACAATTAATATAGTACGGTAAATATGCAATAAAGGGCAGCATATGCGAAATCCCTATAAGACAACTGCTGGGAAAGTTAACCATTCCATTTTCTAATGTTAACTATCAGTTGTTTTTGTTCTCTTTGGTGTCAGTTTTGGATTGTTGTGTTCAACTGGGGTTTGGCAAAGTTCTCACCGTATACTCCGTGGACATCATAAAGAAGGTAAGAGAAAATTATTTTATTTTTGATAGATGAATTTTAGATTGCAAAAATAGTATATTTAATAAAAAGAACTGTCCCATTTTTGTAACTTTAAAATTAAAAATCAGCAAGATTCAAGAACTAGTTTTTGTCTCCTCCGTGGACTTGTTATGTCCACGGAGGAGAAGACACAGTCAATGGAAGAGACATTGTGTTAGATAACCATAATACAATTTTAGTAACTTAAAAACTATTTTCTTTTAATTGATATTTTTTAAAATGCAACAAATGTGTTAATTTGCTTGAATTTTTAAAGAAAATCAATTAAGTTTAACTTCTTCTTATCGGAGAAGTAAATATTGGCAATTTTTCTAAATAATTTCTGTGATGTTTAACATTTTTTTTCTCTTCAAATTTTAGGAAAAAAATTGCAAAACCAAAATTTAAGAAAAGAAAGCAATCAAATGTTCAAATGCAAAAGAGAAGGGAACAGAAAAAACTTAGTATGAGACAAGCTAGACAGAAAT